GTTTACTTCTACTGTGGAACAATGATGGTTCAAATTATCCCTCTGCCATACCTTTCTTTGGTTTGCTATTAGTCATTTGTTCATAGCCAAAGAGATTGGAATCTTTGGGAAAACTTTGACTTCATGTAGTAATTCACTATTTTCAATGTATCACACACCCAATAATTCTTTTCTATTATGAAATTCCAGGTTGTTATATTTTTTTCCTCTAGAAACTTCAGAAGTATCATGTGAGGTATATTTTAATTTCTTTAAAGGTATTGGAGGATTCTTGTCTGTATGTGTCAGTTACAGGACATGCTATATTCTCTTCTCAATGGAAAGTTCTTCTCTCATTGTGGTTTTTATGGTCTTTTTTCTTTTCTCTATCATGTATTAGGATAATGTTTTGTTCGATCACTTGTTAGAGAGAGGCATTATTAAACCGTAAGTTTGATGGTGGTCAGTTGTTTAACCAAAGAGATTCTGAATCCTTAACAGAGTGAGTTTTGAAATGGACGTGTACTAGTCTATTAAAAGAAATTACTAATGTAGCTTCAGATTTCAGAGTTATAATGCAAATGTGGTTTTGGCTCATTTTGTCAGGCCCTGGTATTTTTCTGATTTCTGGATGAACCTTACGCATTTTCAGCAATGACTTAAGATTAAAGTGATATGTGACAAGGAAACTCACCAACATCAGAAATCCACATTAATAGAGGAAGTGAAACTGAACTTTGTTACTGATATTCTGATTGCTAGTACTGTTCCAATTCTCTGCATATGTGATTTTAGTTGGAAGTAATTATCACCTGCCTGCTACAGTTTGAGCAGCCAATAATTTCAAAGTCTTGAATTTGCTCCATTGTCAATCATTTTTTAAGTCTATACATTTCTTGTGATGTGTCTATCTAAGAAATACCTGAGTTTCTGGTCTACGTCCCTTGTAAAAACATTTTATATGTGAAAAACTTGAGTCTCTACATTTCAAACTTTGCTGGTATCCCACCTTCTAGGCTTCTTGCAGATCAGGAGATGCATAACTATTTGGCATGAGATGATGATCGTGGTGGGCCTCAGTCCTTGAAGGACACAAAAACAGTTGATCCAGCATATGATCGGTACCTTAAGACTGTGGTATCCAGTTGAACCTTTAATCATGCATTTCTTTCTTCTTCTTCTTCTTCTTCTTCTTCTTCTTCTTTTTTCCTTTTTATTTGTCACACATCCTCATGTTTGCTTGCTAAGACATTCATCAAATTTCTTTTGAAGGAACTTTGTTCTTTTGCTTCTGGAGAAACTGGTACTTTTGGCAGTTTAGGAAGGGTTGGTTGTGGAATGCCTGCTTATCAAGTAACTGATTCTCCTGTTTTGACTCATCCTGGTTCTGCTGGTCGAGATCTGGTACTAAATGGTCGAAATGCTGGTTATAGTGCAAAACTTGTTCTCATGACTAGTTGCATTAGCTTTAATTAAAAATGTCCTAGTTTCATTACATTTGTTGAGGGAGACAACAAATGCAATTTAGGATTAAAACACCCAAAACTGAAAAGAAATGCTACCGGTGTGTGCAGGCACCATCTGATTTAAACTGATAACTTGTGCAGGCAATTGAGTTGGTGCCAAAGAAGATACATGAACGGTTTCCGTGTGTATTACTCGGCAGCTGATGTTGAAGAAATTAAAGCACCGAGGAGACATGGCCTTATAGACCCAACTCTAGTAATCTCTGTTCATAGACTAGGACAAATTAAATACGAGCTTCAACTTCAACATTGATTCTGTAACTGTAATAGTATGACGTACAGACAGTTATGTTAATGTTGTATTTGGAGTAATATAAAGATGGATGCTTCACACATAAAAGCATAGAACTAAATGTACATTTGCTTCAAAGATTATATTTTCAACATCAATTGCTCTATTTTTTTGATGCTTCAATCACTCCATTTAGCATATAAGATAAAATAGGGAAACACAATGAGTTTAATTTATAAGTGCCTTTAACTTACAAACATGTATATTGACATTTCAACAAGCACATGTAATACAGACAGACATTATAATCTATATATGAAAGTTTAAAAATTATTCAACAAACACGTTAACAACATAGTTAGTATCTAAATATATAAATTATTTTGAACATTAAGAAACAGATGGTTCTTACTTATGAATGACCTGTAAGATTGTTAGAACCAAGATAATAATGGCAAAGACTTGCGAAACAATACCCCATGGCTTAGTAAAATAGTTGTGGATGTAAAAAGCACGCCATTTTGGAAAACACCTCTGGCAATAAGATCTCACGTCCAAGCAAAGTTGAGCATAATACAAACAGTCCATATTGGTGCCGTTGTCTAGTCTGTTGAGGAAGTCAGACACTTCTGCAGGGTTTGACCAGTTATTAAAAATGTCTTTCCTGGACAGTAAATCCACATCCTCAGGGGTGTCCACAAGTCCATTTAAGAGCTTTGCATAACAGGTGACTTTAGGAGGGTGGGGACGGTAACATTGCTCGAAGCTGATAAGGTTTCGGAAGATTGTTTCTGTTGTTGGGTGAATAAGTAAAGATGGGATTTCGAGAACACCTTGAGTGTTGTTGAACCTTATATCCAAGATTCTTCTTGACTCAACTCTTCTGAATTTGACTCCTGCCTCTCGAAGGCTTGTAGCAGAAGGAATATTATGCCTGTTTTGGTCAAAGTGTTCATCGCCCCATCTGGGTTGTTCTGGTGAGAAGCCCACATAATGCCACGCAAGATCGAGGATGTGGTTGATCTTTTTTGGCTGTATCCGAAGTTTGTCATATGAAAATATAGAGTAGAAAACATCAATTGCAAGTTCAACCAAAGGCTTGTCTTGCTCTGAGTCTCTGGTCCGCTCATACAAGCGCTCAAGCACAAACCAAGGTATTTGGTTTTCTATCAAAAACAGGTCATGACGCCAAGTCGGAATCATGGCATTGGAGAAGATGAACCGTTCACTGTAGTTTGTAGGTATGAGTCCATATGCATCTCTCTTCCGAAGCATCTCAATAATAAAGCAGCCATCCAACAGCAAAATTTTCTCGAACTCTTGTCTGCTGTCGACATTGATGGCTCCCAAACCCCCATAGCATTCACAAGCTTCGCTCTTCACCTGGGATACTACAATTTCCAACTCTTTAATCTTATCATCTGGACTTGGGAAACGGCGAACAAGGTTTTCAAGAAAGTTCGTTTTGTACTTTTGAGCCTCCATCAGGTATGGTTCGCCAAAGTGCCAGGGACCCAATGAAAAGAAATGGGGCTTATAAGCCTGTGGATTTTGCATTTTGAGCGTGTCCGGAACTTTGAAGATGCAGGTAGTTCGGGAGATGGTAGAATCCTCTAAAAGCAATTTTTTGTACTTGGTTGTCCAATGGACATCCAATGCGAGGTGATCGGCGCGGTTACTACCCTCTACCATAAACGGATCCCTTTGCAATTGTTTAATTTCTCCACTCAATACTGGAATATAGCACATTGAGATGCGATAGGTATTGGTTAAAAACTTCAAAATAAAATTCTAATTTCCTTTAAAACAGGGAAAGATAATAAAAAAAAAAAAAACGGTAACATTTTGCTACCTTCCATTTTTGGACAAAAAGGTGAAGGATGCTTTGTCTGAAGATAGATGATTCTACAGATGGAGGGCCCTACAAAACCGT